CCCACCCTCACGCACGAAGATAGACGTGCGAAACACACCCTCTGTCCTCACGTTCTTCAGCGCAAGAGCCCGCACGGTCCCGAAAGGCAGATCCGACATGGCAGGCAGGAGGTCGCAACCAGCAAGCAGGTAGACAAGGACAAAAAGTCGTACTTTCTTGCCGTCGTTGGGAATCCAACGCTGGATATTTCGGAGTCCGTCGTGGGCCACGCAGATTCATTGCCGTCCTTGAGTTGACTGATGGCGGCGAATACTATGTTTACCCAAATGTACTTCGGGGCACCCAAACAACCTTCTACACGGTCACTTCAACCGCCCCCTCTCCATTGGCCTTGAGGAACCCCGTACTCATCGCCAGCAAAAAGATCATCCATTGGTCGGTGCACACCGAGTAACCAGCCCTTCTCATCCGCCGACACGTGACATGCAGCACACAGTTTCTCTCCTGTCAAATTCTAACCCCCCAAGGGCACCCATGACATGGGAGGCCAGGAGTGGTGGTGACCCAACCGCATTCCTGCCGCCCGCATGCCTTCGCGCGCCGCGTCCTCTCGCGCGTGCTTCGGTCACTATCGGCGTCTTGTCGTGGTGTCTTCTCATCTTGAACTCACCGCCGAGCACGAACTCCCGGGGAAGTTCTCGTCGTTTTAAGACACTCAGCGTCGGCGATCTCACATTCAGCCCGTGCTTGCTCCCTCGCCACCGACTGCCGCTCGTCGTAGTCCACGTCTGATTTTTTCTGTTCCCACTGTCGTTGTAGTCAAACTAAAGATCGTCTGGCCTAAACCCTCGTCAGGCGCTTCTTCCCTGATCGTGCCCCGAACCCTTCAACCGTGCGCCGGAGTCTTGCGCCCGGCGCTTCGCTCTACTTGCCCTAGGTGTCTCCCAACGTTCTCGCGACGTTGAGCCCTTCTTCGTTGCCTCTCGCAGCGACTCGAGAGTTTCTCCGTCTGCTGGCCAGCGGCCGGATTCCGCGGGGACACGGGCCCCCACCGCCAGGGGGACCAGCACCCTACGTCTTCTGTCCCGGTTAGCCATGCGGCTGCATTATTGCACAAGATCATGAAACCACCCCTGAAAGCGAGGGTGGATATCGACACACAAAAGAAACGACAATTGGTTAGTGCTCAGTCACGAATTTGTTGCACAGCGGTGCTCTTTCTTCGTGGTAACACCTCGAACTGTCGGTGGCAGTTTCCAGGTCAACATGACCAATTTTTTGTTTTCTTTGAGATGTGGCCAGCACGATCCGGTACCCCGAATCACATGTAAAGAAACGTGACAGTAGCAAATCAGACCGGATCAAACATTGAACTTGGAGGGTTGGATCTCGATTTGATAGATGTAACGCCCACTATTATTGTGTGTTGCGTTGTTGGCCTGCTTTCCATGTGACTGACACCCGGCCGCGCACGTGCCTGCGTATGATCACCAACACACGCGTAGGATCCACAATGGCAGTTTGAGGTTCATCATGCTTGGGTGTCTCTCACCAAATGAAGTCATTCCTTTAGAAATAGGTGGGCATGTGAGCTGAGTACATCCATCAATCAAATTTTAGTTGTGTCGTACCAACTTATTTTCATACACACGGTGCCCGTGGGTGCTGGTCACCACCCGCGGGATCCAACAAACAGTTGGAGTTTTGACCTCGTCGTTCTTACGTGCCTCAGTCCCAAATGAAGTAGTTCCTTGTGAAATAGGTGGGTATGTGAGCATAGTAGATAAAACAATCAAGGTTTGGTTGCATCATGCCAACTTCATGTAAGTGCAGCACCCACCGCCGTACACACGCGTGATACGGGTGCTGCCACCACCGTGGGATCCACAACAAATTTGAGTTTTGACCTCGTCATGCTTAGGTGTCTCTCCACCAAATGAAGCCATTCCTTTTGCAATAGGTGGGTATGTGAGCATAGTAGATAAAACAATCAAGGTTTGGTTGCATAATGTCAACTTCATGTAAGTGCAGCACCCACCGCCGCACACACGCGTGATACGGGTGCTGCCAGCACCCGCGGGATCCACAACAAATTTGAGTTTTGACCTCGTCATGCTCAGGTGTCTCTCCACCAAATGAAGCCATTCCTTTTGCAATAGGTGCATATGTAAGCTGAGTACATGGCACAACCCTAACGTGGCTGCACCATGCGAGGGTTATGAAGAGACTGGTGTGCTACTGCTGTTGGGCATATGATGGCGGTGGCTGTCTTCTGGTGGTACGCTCTGAGCCTTTTCCGGATATAAGCTGCTACGCTGCGCAATCGGACCAAAAAGCCGTGCCGACTCCTAGTGTATGAGTATCTCAGCGTACCTTTGTCGGAGATCGGACGCGTACGCTCCTGCTTCGGTCTCTGTCGACGTTGATGTACGGTGAGCACTGCGCGGAGCTCGCCGCTTGCTTTGCAGTGTTTCCAAGGGGGGGACACGTTTCCGTTGGAGCCCTCGTTTTGCCAATATATATATGTATATTTTTGCTACTGTACGCGCGGCACTGAGTTGAAACACTATATACGGTAGATAACAGCCCCCCCCCCCCTCCCCCCCCGGATCTGTAACCCTAAAGATTGTGGCAGTGCTTCCAGAAATCGGATCCGCGGGCGCTCTTGCTGCACAGGTAGCTGCATGGGCTTGGTGGTCGCCGTGTTTCGTGTTTGCCCTTGTTTTTGGAGACTGGAGAGTAGATTCCACCTCAACGACTTGCCCACGACGCCGTAGACATCGAGGACTTGCACTCGACATCTGCGCGTCTTGTAGACTCTATCTACGGCAGTACCTCTCTACGTACAACATGCAGCATTGTGTGGAACGAGCGACGAACGGTTCAAGGTCCGTTGAAATATGGAAATAATTGTCTGTGGTATTCATGCATATATATTTTTGAATTGCTTCATGTCTGATTTCCTCCTCTCATCTGTGATGACCGGAGGCCACCGCCCCGGCAGGGCTGCTCTCCGCCGGGTTCGCCGGGTTGCCATTTATTTCACCTGGCGTGCCAAACCGGCGCCTTTGGCTGTCTGTGATCTCGTGGATACGTGCTGGATCTTTGAGGTTGCTGAGAGTTGTTTTCAAATTGTTGCTGCATCAACAATATCTATTCTTGAGCCTCCTCCTCTTGGGAGTCACAACTGGCCACCAAGCAAGTCGGACCCATGAGGCGCATTGTTATCTTCGTGGAGTCGGAAAGCCAAACAAAAAGGCGTTCGAATGGTCCTCAATGCATGTAGTATTCGAAACAACTCCGAACTTTTCCGACAACAGCATCAGCTCTGCCAACGTATCTCGAGCAGAAGACATGGCTCGGGCTGCAACAGCAGCAATCGCGGACGCGGGCGTATTTCTGTCCGACCGCAACCGCGATGAGGAAGAAAACACCCTTAGGGGCGAACAAGATGGCGCGCACTTTGGTCTTTCTCAACGGTGAGTGGTGGAGAGGGGCGTACTCTCGTGTCTCGCATGCCTCAGCGGTCCGACCAGGGTCCTTGAGAGGACGGAGCGGTGGGGGTCTGTGGTCTTCCCGACCATCGAAATAGCGAGAGGAATTTATTTTTTTCAATCAATTGAATACACTTGCCACCCGTGCTTTGTTCTCTGCCCGTATCAGTAGTAGTAGTGGTGCCGACGAGGCGGAGAGATGGCACCCCCCCTTGACCGTCTCGCTGTTCTACAACCACGGGGCTGCAGAAGAGACCGTACGTCTACGGAAAGCCCTCAAGGGGTTGGTTCCAAATCCACCATCTTCGGTGTTGGCCCACGCTTTGGTTGTGGAGCAATGGTGCTGTGAAATGGGGGGTGCCATCTCTCTGCCTCTTCCGGGTTGTTGCTGTTGTTGACCTCTCTCTTTCCCTTACCAATCCAATCGGCAACAATAACATTTCTCGTTTGTCATGAGCTCGAAATCGAGAGAGAGTGATAGAGAGAGATAGGGATAGAGAGAAAATAAAGTGGAGAGACAGAGAGATAGAGATAGAGAGAGAAATAAAGTGGAGAGACAGACAGTAAGAGAGAGAGAGAGAGAGAGAGAGAGAGAGAGAGAGAGAGAGAGAGAGAGAGAGAGAGAGACCAGAGGGAGGAGGGGGCGGCGGGGGGCGGGGGAGACAGTATGAGACGTGCTCAAATCGAGTCCGAATGCATGCAACCTTGTCCTGTAGAACTAAACTGTGGCGGATCCGAACAAAACCTTCATGCCCCCCCGTCTCTCTCTCTATGTGCATGCTCCGCCCCCCCCCGGCAACGCCAGCAGCACCACGGGAGAGACGGCATGAGGCCTGCTCATGTGTTGCCAAATGAAGCCTTTTTCTGCAGGGCACTAAACTATATGTGCCGAGCCGAACAAAACCTAAATGACCCCTGGCCCTCCATGCCCTCCCCCCCCCTCTTGGATCGGCTTCGCGAGAGTGAGGAAATTAGAACAGGGAGGGTGTACGCAGACCCCGTTCCTTAGCCCTAACCCGACCCCAACTTCCCCGATTTCGTATTTTATCCAACATGTTTACTTGATAGAACAACACGGCGAAGGCTGCTGTCCTCCTTCTCCATCGACAACACCAACACCTTCACCATGAGCACCACTCACCCGGCGGCCCCGTTGGACAGGGCGTGGGCTATCGCCTTTTGGGTTAACGTGTGCATCACCGTCCTGTCCGTAAGTCATACACAGAAAGAAGCTGCTGCTGCTGTCAAGACCAATCTACTCTGTACATGTTGATTGGGTTCGTTTGCAGCGACGAAAAAAAAACTCGTTCGACGCCGGTCAGAGGGTGGGTGTGAAGTCTCTCCGGCAACTTACGGGAATACGTATGCTTCTATACATGCTGTTTGGGAACGTATGCACTGAAAATAGTTTGGTGAAATAGCAATTAATGTGCATACAGTCATCCCTCCAAAGTTCACCCCAGTCTGTCATGACAGTTTCGTTTCGTCGAGTCTAGTTCATTTTTGCGTATCGTCCCCGGCTGTCGGGTGATAGCCCTGCCGGATCGTTGCTTGCACCGCTGCTGATGGGGGTGGCGATGATCGCAGTGGGGTGGGGGGTCCTTCGTATGGCGCTGAACTCTTTTGCTAACTTCCCTAAGCGCATGGTTCAGGTGAATGCGTCGCGGGGTGTCACTATTCTGATGCCTTCTTGGTATTGCTGTCGCCCCTTATCGTCGCCTGTCTACCTCTTGACGCTTTTAGTCCGCACTCCGGATACGGTTTCCTTTTGATGTTTTATTTGTCCGTTGTCCAACTCGTGGACCTTTTTCGTCTAACACACGTCGACCGAGGCAGATATCCTTTCGTATTGGTATTTTTTTTTTTTTTTTTTGTCTTCACTTCAAATCAGCGCTCACAGCACTCCAACCCGTGGTCACACAGAAGAGGCCCTCCCTACCATCCCCTCCTGCGGTACTTCGCCTTCGATTTTTAATGCGAGAAGAGTTCAGCACTCTCTTCCCTCTGTGTACACACGAACTAGCGCTATCCACTAGGCCAGAAGCGGAAGCGAGAGAAAAACCCCCTTTGCGAGAAAAGCTCGCTTACGCCGGGATTCGAACCCCTGACCTGACCTCTAGAAGGTTTCGAGGATACCAACTAGACCACCGGGGCGACCGGTCATTGGTATATGCACATATGTAGCGCGCGTTTCTGTGTTGTGTGTTGCTGCAACAACCAGATCCATCGATGGATCAGATGGCTAAGTTTCATTTGTGTTTGCAGCAGCATGTTTTTTCTCCCTGGTGTCACTCTCCCTATCTATCGCGATGCCGACAGTTTGGGTTTTCCTGAACTTGACTACAGTTTGATTCACAGTCGACCGCGCCTTCTCTCATCATTAACGTCCCGGGAAATCACCGACAAATTCGATCACCGTCTCGCCACCAAGAGCGCAAAAGCTTACGGGTTTCAATGCCCCCCCGCCCTCCACCTTTGGCCAAGTAGGAAGGAACGATTGGACATCGGTGATCGGTCCGGTGGGAAAAATGCTCAGTCTTCTCGAGGACGCTTGGTCAATCGCCTAACCGCTACAATACGGCATGCGACACATGAGTACCCCCCCCCCCCCCCCGGTCGAGAAACCTCACTCCGCGCAACGGGGGATGATCGCACCACGTTGTGTTAAAATGGTCAAGCTTCCTCGAGGCAGTTACACAGTGCTTACAACTGTCTCTGGAAGTGAAAGCACCAGAAAATAAATTAAGTCATACGTAGCTGTCATCCGTACGCAAGGAAGTAAGCACAAGATGCCGAACACCCTTAGCAGGATGCAGCTCACCCTTTCATGCGAATCGCCAAATACCTCACGGCGCTTCGCGCTTGGTGATGTGAGAGCCTGGTCCGGTGAGAACCCGGCGTGCTCCGTCCCGGCTTTGTAGGGATGCGAGGTCAATGGTCAAACGACTACGGCATGCACGACTATGAGTACACCCCCCCCCCCCCAACAACAGTTTCCCGTTCCCTCTCCTGATGCGTAATCCGCTATTTCTCTCCTGATGCGCACTTTGTTTTTGTGTCTTCCCGAACATGCAAAATTGCGCGCAGGCCACTTTCATGGGCGTTGCGGGCGTCTCGGGAGTGGCAGCGGCAGCTCCACTGTGGTCTGCGTTGTTGAAAAAAGCTCTCATCACTTGGGTAGTGTGGGAAGTTTCGTGCATCCTGTGCATCTTGTGCTGCATAATGTTCTGGCACCAGATCCACCTTCGTTTCGGCGCAGCCGATCTGAATGTAAGTTTGGCGAAGTACAACAGTAGTGTAGTTTGTGCGTTTCCAAGTGGGGCGTCATACGAAAATTGGTACAAGCGTGAGAGTTGTGATTTCTGTTGGTTAGATGTTAATTTGTCGCCCACACCTTTTGTTGGACTCGTCAGAAAATTTATATGTGGGAGTCAAACGTTGCATGTCTCTCTCACGGATCTCACAGTATCTGCGGACGACATGAACCCCCCGATGTAGCATAGGTGAAGTGACATTTCTCTCAGTGGTTTTGCAATCGCAGCTGCTTGTACCACTCTCCCACACAAATTGCCCGCAACACCCCCCTTTCTATGACACAACGTTTCCACCACGCACAACACTGCTTGCCCTCTTGGAACACAACAACAAAAACCATGCCGGCATTTTTAGGTGGCCGCCCTTGCGGTCAGGTCCATGCCTGGGACGATCTACTTGGCCCTCTTTATGGGCGCCATGCGGGTGGTCTGGTTCATGCTCTCGGCCTTGTCTGCGGTGGGCTCCTTCGTGGCATTTTCACCCGTGGTCGTGAGTGCCGACGGGACCACCTACTCGTTCCTGGGTTGTCAGGTAGAGTCTATGTTGCGTTGGAGAAAGTACCGGGGAACGACAATTTTTCTTGTGTAGTATTGAGATTTTTCGTGTCGAATTTAGAAATTTTCCACCAGTTTGGTTTTATGTACGATTACTTAGGATGTTGGTTAGGTGGTGGGGACAAATTTTATTTGGGTTTCGTGTCCAATCACGTAATACACACATCAATTTTTTTTTTTTGATCGATTGTTTGTCGGGGGGTGGTCTTCTTGCCTCCTCTCCGCAGGGCAAGCTGTGGGCTACATGAAAAATGAAAGCGAACTGTCCAGGTGAAAATGTTACGGCCCAATGTTCATATTTGGAGCACCTCCTCGACTACAACCGCTGGAGCGCGAGAGACATTTTCACAAAACGAAATAAACCTCTACCAACGCCCTCGTACGTTCCTCTCCCCAGGACATTGTCGTCTCCTCCTCGCCCTACGGCGGCGGGGAAGCTACTACCGGTTCGGGCCTCTCGTGCCACTGCGGCGGCGAGGTTATCTCTAGCGACTCCGGGTGCGAGTTCAGCGGCGGCGGTTTCCAGCGCTGGGTGCTGGGCGTCTTCTGGGTGGGGAGCTTCATCTGGGGACTCGACGTCCTGCATGACGTCGTATTGGCCACGGTGGCCGGGTCCGTGGCTTCTTGGTGGTTCTCCCCCGGAGACACGAACTCCGTGCGCGGCGCCTTCTACCGCGCCACGCACAGCTCATTCGGGTGAGAGACACGGTGATTGTGGTAGTGGCGCGGCCGTTTGGTCGGGGTTGACGAAGAAGCGTTCGTGAGATCTAGGCTATGCTGTCTGCACGACGGGAGGCCGTCGTCGTTTACACGGCGGGGAGGTCGTCGTTGTTGTTCTTGGTAAAATCTGCGAGTGATTTTGTGTTCACCCGTTTTCTTGCGAGGGTCACTCTCGCTCTCATGCTGCAACCGGCGCGCCTCTCTCTCCCGGCACGGTTCGTATTATTCCTGTTACGAACCGCGATTCCGTGAAATAAGTATCACACTCTTCAGTGTATACCATCAGAAATAAGTCGGCTTGAAATGTCTTGAAATGGCCCCCCAAAAGTTCTGAAACATCTGCACGATGGCTCATGACTAGGCCCAGAAAGCGGCGTGCACACGGTTTCTCATATTTTCCTTTCCGCAGACTGAGTCTGAGGCGCATTCCGAACTCGGTTCCTGCATCTGACATTAGAAATGTCATCACCGATCGAAAGGTGGTCGAGGGTGCCGTCAGACGAGGACAGATTGCTTGCGGCTGTCACGGGGCGTAGCTCCATAGTCTACCTACCTAGCTGATCGCGCAGTCTATCGCGAGGCTTTCGCCCGTGCTCGGAGATAGTTTGCACGTTCGGTCGGGTGTACTACCGGCGGCAGGCTCGTTGAATTTTCACCCTCATTGTCCTTTGCCTCGACTGGACAGTTTGTCGCTGAAAAAAGACATTTCCAATTGTTGAGGGTTCAAATGCCATCCATCCACTAATTCCCGGGCTACCCTTCTACAGTAGTTCCCGTCACGTGCACCGCCTTGCGTGAGGCCGGACCTCCCTAACCTCTTACGTAATTTTCTCTCGCACGTTCACGCCAGGTCCTTGTGCAAGGCTTGTCCGACACAGATGGCAGATACGTGGGGGGTCATATCAAGGTAATCAACTATATTTGTAGGAATGTCATGGTCGGACGCACCACTATAGATATTTGTAGTGAAGGATTTTTTTTTACACATTTTTTTGGTGTTTTGTATGGTCTGGACTGTGCGTACACGAGACAAGAGTTCTGCGTTGTCCCTAAATCGATTAATTCAAGAACACAGCATCCCACTGATGAACAGCAGTCTTCCGCCCTCCCACCGGTATGTCGTTACAAGTCACGGCCTAATTATACGGAGCAAAGTACGTAAATGCTGACGCATGATATGCACAACAATCATCACAATGGCACCAGCTTTGGAATAACACCCAACCTTACACGCGACAATCGGTACTACCCTACACGGACATACCCCCTATGCTTCCCACCGCTGGGAAGCAGACGAGCTTTGCGACATCTCATCTATTTGTCATTGCAGGTCATGGTGACTCTCCGAAGTGCACAGCAACCAAACATGCATGTACATGTCCTACAGCTGTCCCAAGCACCATGCACCCAGAGACACTACTGTAGATTACGACGACGAAAGTACAACACAACTTCTGACTGCTGTGTCAGGCACGCGAGCCACGCTTCTCCATAACGTTGTGCAAAAAACATTTACATGTGTGTAGCACACATGCAAGCAGATTCCCAAGTATGTGTGGGTCACCCGCAACAACATCACAAGCGCGTCTTCGCCCAACGAATCAACCGCCATGAGAACGATTGCAGACCGCATTCGCGAAAGTAAACAAAAGTCTACAGTATGTAGTCTACTCCTTTGTAACGTTCGAAGTCGGACTATTGTATGTTTACTGCTACTACAGTACTACACGTTCAAACTGGAGTTCTGCAATCTTCTCGCAACCACCACTCCTACAACGTGTTCGACCTCTCCGAGCAATGTCTGATGATGCTGTTTCTGTTCGAACCGACATACAACGAACGACAGCGACTGCGCAAGAACAGCGAAAATCGTGCATATAATACTCGGAACAAATTGGCTGTAAATGCAAGGAGGCGACGCGCACGACAACTGAACAATAATGCGCCACGAACACGAGGGCACGACTCAACGCGACCCAGCCCAGACCTTCCTGCAGCAAGACACGTCAACCCTATCGCAGATCTGACATTTTTGCGGCGAAGAGGGATCATCTGGACGACCTTTTGATTTCGCAAAGATCTGCAGGAACTGCATCGACAATCCACAACATCATGCATTCGCGAGGAGATATTTGAACGCGGTGACCTCTTCCAAACAATGTGGGGCCATGCTGTTCGCCAAGGAGTCTAACGGGATATGCAAATATGGGAAATGCGTTCTTCCGCGACTACCCAATCCCCCACACTACTGACAGTTTTCCCAAATGACCCATGGGCGGCCCATGGGGCACCCATGGTTCACCCATGGGCCGCCCATGGGCCGCCCATGAAATGCCCATCATGGGCTTAGCATGAGCATGCTCATCATGGGCAAAGGGCCGCCTATGGGCACCCCATGGTGAGCACTCACGCGACTTCCCACCGTGGGCAGCCCATGGGCTACCCATGGGCTGCCCGTGGGCTGCCCATGGGCACGTGCATGGTGGGCAGCCCATGGGCAGCCCACCGTGGGCACTCATACAACTGCCCATCATGGGCTACCCATGGGCGGCCCATGGGCACGTGCCCATGGTGGGCGACCCATGCGCGGCCCATGATGGGCACTCACGCGACTGCCCATCATGGTGGACACGTGCCTATCGTGGGCAGCCCATGGGCAGCCCATGGTGGGCACTTACGCAACTGCCCATCATTGGATTACCCATGGGCTGTCTACGGGCACCCGTTGGCACCTTCGCAACCAACGGGCAGTGCCCAGTGCCCCGTGTTGGGCACTGCCCATTGGCAGCCCACGGGCAACCCATGACGGTCACTTGCGCACTGAGGCAACCGGCGATCATGTGCAAATAGAATGTCCATGGTGATGGTCTGGCTAGCGTCGTGGGCACCCACGCACATGCCCCGCAAGGGCTGTCCGTAGGCCGGCCATGGGGTGTATAGAAATCTACGCAGACATACACAAAACCATCCATGCGGACTTATCACGGATAGTGTTTTTTCACATCTTAGGGAATTTTGGCCCAAATATAATGCATACAAGTTACAGTGGTACTACTCTTCGAAGAATTGGTAAATTTTCAATCGGAACGCCAAAAACAAGCGGCCACAACATTCTGCTGGTGCAGCATTACCATCTTCCCTACAACATACTAAACCAGGGACGTCCAAAATGTTTCATAGGGATAATGGCCCAATGAAATTCGTTACCAGAAACCCTGTTTCTGGTCACTATCTCACCGTACATCCATTTTCATCAAGATCGAAAGAACACGAATTTTCCTTTAGGGCTGTTGTTATCGACCAATAAAACACGAAAAAAAAAACGAAACCGTGTTTTCTTGAACATATATGGAAGCGTTTTTCCCCGAAAGCGTGAAAAGAAGGAGTCGGGTTTTTTGGGGGCTTGCTCTTTAACGTTTTCGTGTTTTTGACAGAAACATCGGACAAGCGCACCGCGGGCGCTGTAACATCACTGAGAACGCTAGAAAGACCTGCCAGACTCACGTCCAGGTCTGTTGTGGAGATGGACAAGCGGCAGAAGCGGCGTTCAGTCCGTTCTTGGTCCAAAACTAGACATTGCGTGGTGCTCTCGTCTTCAACTGCTGCTGTTGGTGCTGGGGAATTTTTTTCCATCACACATAGCAAACACGGAAACAGTAGAACGAGTACAGCAGCACCACCAAGACCTCCAAAGCGCTGATTCCTTCGGTTCGGCTGTCTATATGATACCATCTCCCGGCGCCGTGCTGCTTCGTGGGTATTGGGTGCTTGGGTGCTGCTCAATAAGGTGTGTGAGAGACGTGTGCCACCTCACCAAAATGCCGTTGGAAAAATTGCGGCGAGATGATCTGTTTTTGGTCGGACACATCAACATCAATCCACGGCGCCACGCAGCAGTAGAGCACCAGGGCCTCCAACACGCTAATTCTTTCGGATTGGCCATCTATATGATGCTGGCCGTCAGCGCGGCTGCCGCCCTATGATTGTTGAGCTCGTCTACCTTTGGGTAGGTGGTGGTCAAAGATGGGAGTCGCAACCGTGAAAAATGAGCTGGCAAACTGAAGAAATCGCAAGCAACACCTGGGTTGCGACACTCTGCCGTGCGCCTGTTGTTGCTAAAAACTGAAAACAGCAGGCCGGATGGACGGGATCTTTCTAAGTGTGTTGTCCTCTGTGCCGGGTGCTGCTTGTTGCGCTTTTATCGCTGCTCTATGGTGAGCAATACCATGTCAACCTGTTGTGTGCCGAGCAAAGCGTGTATTCAGGGAAGGAAACGTACTTTTTGCGATGACATCACGAAAAGAACAAGCAAAAAAAAGTCGGGTTTTCTTTTAACCGTTCCGTTTAAAAAAGAACGATTTCGACGTTGCGTTAATAATAACCCTTAATCCCGGCGGATCTGCTGCAAAAAACGGGGTGTAACCGTAGAAATACAGCTAGCTTTCTCTGATGCTATGAATTAATTGCTAATCTATCTTAGACCTCTATCGATAGAGATGGATTCGTTGGGTCATATTAAGAAAATCAAAATGAACGGGGTGTGATTCGTCTATGTGCTTCTCGAAATACACCAATAGAGAAAAGGAGCGAAATTTTTCCCGGATAATATTTGCCTTATTTTGGCAATGTTACTTGCTCCACCGGTGGAGTAACCTCCTATTGGCTCCACCAGGCAGATCTCCACCCACAGAGCTCCAGTGGACCTCAAATTAATTGTATCGTGTCGCAATGCTACTTGCAAGCTAAATGCGACAGGTGGCTGAAGAGTTATGCTCAAGGGAGGGGGGGCTTAGCAGCATGTCAGGTAGCAGTAATCCTCTCGAACCCCCGCCCACACAGCGTTCATTGGCCTCAAACCTTTTTCGTCGTGTCCGCACGGTCCATACCGTTCTTCCAAGCTATGGGACACTCCCATCAAATATGTTCCCGCAGAGGTATGGTCAGCAGAGGGGGTTCCGCAGCATCTAGGGGGGGGGGGATGTACTCATAGTCGTGCATGCCGTAGTCGTTAGACCATTGACCTCGCATCCCTACAAAGCCGGGACGGAGCATGCCGGGTTCTCACCGGACCAGGCTCTCACATCACCAAGCGCGAACCACCGTGAGGTATTCGGCGAGTCGCATGAAGGGTGAGCTGCATCCTGCTAAGGGTGTTCGGCATCTTGTGCTTACTTCCTTGCGTACGGATGACAGCTGCGTATGACTTAATTTATTTTCTGGTGCTTTCACTTCCAGAGACAGTTATAAGCACTGTGTAGCTGCCTCGAGGATGCTTGACCAGTTTAACACAATAGTGGTGCGATTATCCCCTTTGCGCGGAGTGAGGGTTCTCGACCCGGCACAACATGATCTACTCGACCACAATTGGATACCGCAAAAACAAAAATAGGCAAAAACGATTAAAAGCGGTAACCAACCTGGTTGCCGAGCTCACGAAGTGATCGGCTTGTCTTACAACATCGCTGCCAAGCGACGAAAACCCAATCCCGAAGGCAAACACCGGGGGGGGAGAATCTAGGGGGGGGGGGTGTACTCATAGTCGTGCATGCCGTAGTCGTTAGACCATTGACCTCGCATCCCTACAAAGCCGGGACGGAGAACGCCGGGTTCTCACCGGACCAGGCTCTCACATCACCAAGCGCGAAGCACCGTGAGATATTCGGCGAGTCGCATGAAGGGTGAGCTGCATCCTGCCTAGGGTGTTCGGCATCTTGTGCTTAATCTAGGGGGGGGAGGTAAATGTCAATTGTCCCGGTGTATCTCCCGCCGCATAGCGGAACCACGCCTACCTCTTCCCGCACTGTGTTGGCACGGCTCACAGCTATCATTCAAGCCATCATGCACCCCAATTGGACCAGTGGGTGCAGAGAAACGCCCACCTGCGGGGGCTCAGTGACTCAACGGCCG